CCACAGCAGGGCAGTGAGAGTAACATGGACATTCTGTCCCCTCTGTTCACTGAAGCAGTGCTTTCCAGGTTCCTGGTGTTGCTAATGTTCCCAGTTCTGTCTTGTCCTGTGTCCCGTACCATGTATCCCGTCCCCCCTCCCTTCCCCCTCATCCGTCTTTTCATTCAGAACTGAACCACTAGCATCTTCATATGAAGTATTTTAGATTTTAAAAAATAACTACTTGAAAACACATTATCTTAAATGTTTTCTAAAGGGAAGGTAGACCCCTTCACGTGATTTTATTTATAAAGGACAATCTTCCAGAATACAGGAGTGTTTGGGGGAAATATCCTTGAAACATGCTCTCAAATCTAACTGCGACATGTTTTGTGGTTCTCCCTGGTTGAATTTGAATGACAGTGTGATTGGTGCTAAGTGTAGAGAAGTTAGTTACATTCCTTGAGCACAATTCCCCAATTTTGTCAGATTAATAACATTGAACAGAAGCTTTTTTCTAAGCAGTGACCGTGCTGTTAAAGGGCTCCCCACGCCCTCTTCCAGGGTGGTTAGGGGTATCCTGGGGGGGGGTGAATGTGGGAAACCGGGTGTCCGGGGCCCGGGTGACCACGTGGGGAAAGTGCTTCTCAGAGAGTCCCTTGGTGAGACGGACGGCGCCTCTCCTTCTGGCTTCTCCTGGTGCCGTCTTATTCCAAAGTCAAGTCAAGACAGGGGCTCTGGAGACTGGCATGCTTTTCGAGGTTGGAGTCCTTTTAACTCGGGAGGTATGGGACTGCTTCATAAACAATAGGACATTGCGTGGGAAGAGGGGGACATCTTAATGCGGCTGTGGATTGAGATGAGGGGCTAGCTCTGGGAGGCAGCTGGAGGCCACAGGCCTGTGTCAGAGCAGAGTTTTCAGGAGGCCTGAAGTAATACAAATAGTGGAGAGTGGAGGTGCTCAAAACTGCTGCTGGCTGCCATGCACGTCGCTGGAGCCTTACACTCATCTGTGCTGTCCCCACTGGGCTGAGTTTTGCCTCATTTGATAGCTGAGGAGACTGAGGCTCAGAGAAGTTAAGTTTCACACAGCTGGCAAGTGGTCTTTGTCTTCAAAACCAATCTTCACAGAAATTAGAAAGTTGAGCATTAGAAGTAAGTGTTACTTAGAAAATTTCTTCTTCCTCTGTTAGAGAGTCGGATCCAGAAGGTCTAGGAGCTTGGGGGTCTAGGTGCCTCTATAGTGCAGAGGGACCTGTGAAGGTGCCCGGCCTGTGGCATTTCAGGCGTCAGGCAGGACATTTTGGTCCTGTCCTCCAGTGCAGGTGGGATAGTCAGAGCCACCATGGACACCAGTCAAGACTTCTGGTGGCTGCTCAGGGATGCGAAGTGCTTCACTTGCGTTTTTGGTCAAAATTGTTGCAGATCCTGGTGCTCCTCATGCTCATTTTCCAAGTGAAAGCTTGCAGATTGGAATGAGCCTGTGCAGTGACAGGGCTGCTGGCCTCTGCTCCTGGCCTGTCCGTGTGAGGACAGTGTGTTGTTACCTGGATGCAGTGGTCGTGAAGGAATTCAGTGTGGTGGGTCTCCTGTGTACGTTGTGTGAGGTGTTGCAGCTCAGTTTGGTCACGGAATGTCATCCTGTCTCACCTGTTTCAGGGAGTCCCAGGGGGCCCATGTGGAGACGTGCTTGCTGTCACCCAGCGCAGGCCACAGCTTTTCACATCTGTTAGCTTGCTTTCCTCACACAAGCCTTGAGGAAACCGCAGCTGTTCCCATTTCACCAGTGAGGAAACCAAGGCACAGGAAGGTCACAGACTTGTGGGGGTGACGAGACTGAGCAGAGTGCCAATGCATCTGGCTCCACACCGGGGGACTGTTCAGCAGGTTTTGTCCGCTAGGGCACAGAGCCCATGATGGTCCCCTTCCTGAGGAAGCTACGTGCATTGGGACACGTGAATGTCAGTTCCAGAGGCAGACATGACATGTGTTCAGCTGGGGGGCAGAGGCCTAGGCGCATAGACAGGAAGAGCAGTGACGTGCAGGGGGACGGGGATGGGAGCCTTCTTAGGGACCCCGTAGATATGGGTGCTGTCACTGCGTGACTCCCACTTAGCTGGCAAGAGCTGGGGTTGCTTCCTTGTAGTTTTTTCCTGCAAGTGTCTTGTCTTCTCGCTGGCATTTGGCTCATGCAGTAAAGAATCTGAGGCTACACAACCCATAATTTTCTTAGTTATGGTAGGAAACTTGGTGATGTATTTTAACTTAATAGATGACCTCTCACTGCCTTCCCTCTGAAGTTAGCTTCGTTGCCTATAAAGTTTGCTCATAAACCTAAGAAATATGCCTGCTTTGCATTTTGCCACTCCAGTGATGAAACCCCTCAACTTCAGAGCTGCCCCAGGCCTTGTTGCCCCCATTCAGAATGAGCCTTTCCCCTCCTTTTTGTCATTTGGGAAGGTAGGTGTCTGAGGAGTGTCTCAGTGTCTAGAGTGACACTGCAGACTCAGTGATGGTGTTGTGGTCTTTGCACATGTGTCACTGTCCACAGAGGAGCTACTTGCCAAAGCTCAGAGCTCTCCAGCATTTTAGGAGATGCGTGTGTGCATCTTTAGTTCTCAGCTGCTGCCCCCGAAGGCCTCCTACATTAGTAGAATGTTCCAGCTCCAGCAGGATGAGAATTGCGGTTGATGGCCATCGGGCAGGTGCCGTTGGCACCTTTCTTTCTTGATAGTAAACTGGCTTAGAGTTACGTGCTGGTGAAGGCCCAGGGGTCACAGCAGATGGTTGTTCCTGAGGATGTGGAGGTGTCTTAGGAACAGCAGAGACGTGTGGTGTTTCTGGCTCCTTGAAAAGATGGACTTTTTGTTTATCCCAACTCAGTTTTTACAATCACATATAGGAACAAATAATCTTATGTAAAAAAGGGGAAACAAACTCGATGTTACATTGTGCATTCTCGTCACTAAGCGGCCTGGTTGACTTACCTGTGGATGCATGGACACAGGAGACAGGTGAGAGCAGAGGATTGAGGCCCGGGCACCTGCCATCCCTCCATGGCCCTCGGCAGCAGGGCCTGCTCTGGAAGAACAGGACTCCTGGGACCCTGAAAGACAGAGCTGGGCCTGGGCTTATGAAAGCCTGAAAACTCTGTGTCGTGCACACTGGCCTGTGGCTGTGGATCTGATGGCCCAGTTTGCTGCCTTCCTGGTCAGGCCCTGTGATGGGCACTCAGCTGTGCATTGGTTTAGCTTCTGGTGTAGTGAGGTGCTTGCCTTTGAGTGTGCAGTGCTTGTCCCTGTTGACACCGCTGACCTCGGAGCCTTCTGTTCACAACCTCCTGGGGAGGGTCCCTGGACACTTCATGGCCACGCAGTGAGGGCGTCCTTTTATTTTCCCCATTCTATGGGTGAGGGGATTTTCACTTTGAGAGGTCACGTACACGCCTCAGGAACCTGTAGCCTGTGAGTGCCAGAGCTAGCACTCTGCCTCTGCCTCTCCTTGGGGTTGTGTACAACACAGAAAGATGAGCAGGGTACTAGCAGGAAACTGGCGTACCCCACAGGGCCCTGAGTCTGTTATGGTGTGGTCGTTCATGCCACAGAACGGTGAGACACGGGACACTGGTGGAGCTGTGACTCTGGGCGTTGACCTCCTCCTCGAGAGTAAGATGAGGAAGCGACAGGTGGTGCCATGGCCTTGTTCATGGGTATGCAGACAGCTGCTGGAAGGAAGTCACTGCTGGGCGTGCACCTGCAGGTGATTTTGTAGTCTTTTTCTTTTAACATTTTTAAAAAATTGATTTTAGAGGCGGGGGAGAAACATTGATGTGTGAGAAGAACATTGATCAATGACCTCCCCACATGCCCTGACCCGGGATCTAACCCGCAACCTGGGCATGTGCCCTGACTGGGAATTGAACCTGTCACCTTCTGGTGACACTCCAACCCACTGAGCCACCCAGCCGGGCTGCAGATGATTTCTTACAAGATTTTTGTAGTTTGTTTTTTTTAAATAAATAGCGTACATCATTTTTACCAAATGGTGGAGCTGTTTTCAAAAAATAAAGATATGAGAGAAACTCATATAATAGCATTGATTTCCCAAAGACTTCTGTGAAGTTGCAGGTGATGGATGTGACTGGGCCCTGTGGGAGCTTGAGAGGCAGCAGGTGAGAGTCGTGTGTTCAAGGTTCTCTGAAGAGCAGCTGCAGAGATGGGGCACTCAGAGCACACATGCACCTCGCCTTGCAGGCGTGGGGACCTGGTGTGGAGGCAGGGTTCCCTCAGCCAGGGTTCTGTAGACAGGAGGGACCCTGGGCCTGTTTTGTTTCTCATGGAAGCAACACAAAATAAGAAGAGATTACGGTCTTGTTAGTTCAGTAGGGTAGACCCCGTGCTCTGCACATAGCGACCTCATTAGGAAGTGGGGCTTTGCAGGTGGAAGCTGGTGGCTGTGCCCCTCTGGTATCATCGTTGAAGTGAAAGCAGGCTCCAGGCCTTGCTCTCCAGGCCTCTTGGCACCTGGGGCTTTAGGGGACTTTTCTCTGCACTTCTAGAGCCTAGTGTCCCACCCAGGCGTTGGCACTCTGCCCCTCTATAGCTAAGTGCCCCTCACCAAGAAATCTGTGGTGGGCTGGACCCCAGTCATCTGGGAGGGCTCTGGTTTCTTGCCCCTGATGCACCCGCCTACAGCATGGCTTCAGGGCACGTGTTCCCATGTGACGTCTAGTGACGGCTGTGAAAGCTTCCTGTAACGTTTGTCAGTCTGGCCTCCCTTGTACGCAAAGATGATGGATGTGGTTTTATTTGCTTTTGTCCTTTATTGATCTGTGTTTATTGATTTCAGAGAGAGGGAGGGAGAGAGAGAGAAACATCTATGATGAGAGTCATTGATCGGCTGCCTCCTGCACGCCCCCGACTCGGGATCGAGCCTACAACCCCAGGCATGTGCCCTAACCTGGAATCCAACCCCGATCTCCTGGATCACAGGTCGATGCTCAACCACTGAGCCACACCGGCTGGGCTGTCATTTTTAAGTCTAAAGTGTTTAAATCGGGTGGCTTTGTTTTTGTTTTGTTTTTACTTTCTCTACCCTGGGCTTGGCCCCCAGTTGTTCTCTCATCCTTGTTTCTGTGGGTACTGACTCTGGCTTCAAATCTGAAAGGCTCAGTAAGTGGGGTGGCAGGTCCCACCACCTCATCGCCACATGTCCCTACACATCACAAGAGCCCCTGCCCAGTCACATGCATTTGCTGGGATCAATTGTTGGGCGGCCCTCAGACACAGAATTCCACACAGGTTTTTAAATATGGAAATGTGATATTCTGATACTATTTTATGAAATTATAAAAATTTGATCAGTGTGTATCTTTGGTTTTAATAGCTACTCTGACCTATGACACTCTCCGATTTGCCGAGTTTGAAGATTTCCCGGAGACCTCGGAGCCTGTTTGGATACTGGGTAGAAAATATAGCGTCTTCACAGGTATCAGCAGTGTTGGAGCCCCCTGTGCTCTTAATGCTCAGTCTCCAAGTCCATTTTGTGGTAATAATCGTTGTCTGCTAACTCTGACCTATGACCTGGTACTGATTACGGCCTTGTGTGTGCGTGTTCTTCCCTTAAACATTCTCTAGAAAAGGACGAGATCTTATCTGATGTGGCCTCCAGACTCTGGTTTACATATAGGAAGAACTTCCCAGCCATCGGTGAGTATGCTTGTCTCAGTGTGGGGCGCAACGTGCAGTGCAATGCAATGTGCACTCTTCAGAAGGAGGAAGACAGGTTGATAAGTAGGTTAACTTGGCTATGCCCAGTGCGTGTCACTTCTTGTTAGTCCTCATGGCAACCCCAGGGCAGTGAGCTGGCGAGTCTCGCCCCGAGTTGTGGCGGAGCTAGATTCCAAACCAGGGCTCCTGGCAGTGGCTTCCAACTGTAAGTCACCATTTGTTACTAGGACCTAAAGTCAGGGTACGGAGTCCCCAACAGCAGTGAAAACGGAGGAAACTGGGCTGTGGAGCAGCAAGTGCTGAGAGGCTCAGTGGGATTATATATTTGAGTCTTTTTCTGGGTCAGGGCTGCAGGTCCAGGGTGGCTGGAGGCCCTGCTCTGCACCGTCGTCTTTCCTAATATGTTCCACACTTACTGTGGGAGAGCTGGAGGGCAGGGTAGCTGGGACCTGCTTTCCCGTGACACTAAAGTACATTTCGTTAAAAGTGATTCCTCGTCGTTGTGCCCTGGGGACGGACAGAAGTTGAGGACCAGCTTGGCCTGGCCTTTGCCAGTCAGAAGACCTGAGATCAGAGATTTGGGGCCAGGAGGCTACACCTCCTCAGTGCCTAGTCTCGATTCGGTGCCTCTCCAAGATGTGGTTTCTTCTGTGCTTCAGAAGTGAGGTGGGCGTAAAACGGCCACAGTGCTTGAAATAGAGAGCACTGAAATGTAGGGAAATGATACCGGTGTCCCCCAGGTTAATATTTAATGATGTGGTTTGTCAGGTGTACTCTTTTCTGGTTCCATACCTGCTCTGAGGCTGTCACTTGGCCGTGGGTACAGGGGGTGCAGTTGCCCTCCCACCAGTTGAGGTGTGCTGTGTGGCGCCAGGACGGACAGTGCTGTCCTGCAGGTCTGACGCCTGAACGCAGGGAAGGAGGACAGGCTAGAGAGGAGCCTTGTGCTGTGTGACACAGTCATTGAGGAGGAGGTGGGCTGCCCTGGTTCTGAAGGCCAGTGTGGTGTTTCCTTCCTTTGCCTCTTGGACATGGCTTGTTGGTATGGAAGGTGGGGTGGGGGGTGACAGGTACCATGCTGAGCACCTTCTTTGGTCTCACCCCTGCCCCAGGAGTTGGGCTTTGTCCCTGCATGCTTGGGCAGGGCCCCTGAGGTTTGGAGGTGAGACTGCAGCCCATGTGGCCTGGCTCCTGAGTCTGCTCATTTAGTGTCAGCTACCCTGGGCCTTGCTGACGGCTGGGACTTCAGGGCATTTCTTGTATGTCCAGGCCTGTCTCACCGTACGTGGTATCACATGTTCAGTGTCAGAGTCTGCGCACTAGTGAGTGGACAGGATGAGGACAGGCCCAGGGCACGTGCACCTTCAGTGCTGACCCCGAGGCCTGCCCCTCCCAGTGCTGACCACCTTCCTGCTCCGCTGTCTGCGTGCCTGGTGACTCACCGGTGCAGCGTCTCCTTGTGTTTTCCAGACACTCGTCCTTCTCTGTGACTTGCTTGGATATTTTGCCCAGTGGAGAGGGTTGTTAGGACAGTTCACTCCCCAGCAGTGGGTTGTTGGCATGACCAGGTTCTAGGTCCTGGGTGTTGCTGAGCTGACTGACGCCTGCAGTGTAGAGTGACCTGACCACGAGTCTGCTCTCTCTGCGCCACCACAGGGGGGACCGGCCCCACCTCGGACACGGGCTGGGGCTGCATGCTCCGCTGTGGACAGATGATCTTCGCCCAGGCCCTGCTGTGCCAGCACTTAGGCCGAGGTGAGTCACCCCAGGGACAGGGAAGCTCTCAGGAAGCAAGGACCGTGGGTGAGGTTGTGAAAAACACAGGTAGGGATTCAGGGGCTTTTTCAGTAATGACCCACTGGGTTTCATTGATTTAAAAAGGCAACTTTAAAGTATGCTGCCAAGTGTTTGTCTTTCAGAAATTTTCTAATGCCTGAAACCATTGTTGTTTTCTGTATGGATTTGTGTTGATGGGTTGGCATCTTTGGAATCCTGGGGACTTGGGCATTTTGGGTGCCACCTGTGTCTTGAGTGTTTCCTGACGCAAAGGCTTCTTCCTCACACTTGGTAAAACTGCACTTCTGCACCTGTCTCCACTAGATTGGAGGTGGACACAGCGGAAGAGGCAGCCAGACAGCTACTTCCACGTCCTCAACGCCTTCATCGACAGGAAGGACAGTTACTACTCTATCCACCAGATAGGTGGGCAGGGCAGGGTGCCCCAGTCCTGGCTGTTTAGATGGGCAGCAAGTCCCGGGGTTCCCGAGAGCTTTGCTGTATTGTGTGTGTGGCATGAGGCCTGTCACCACCGCAGACTGCTGGGGGTGGGCCAGGCTGCTCATCACAGCGTCCGTGAAAATCCAGTTCTGTCAGGGAGTCTGAATGGTCCTTTGTTTTAAACAAGTCCAACTTTTGAGCATCAAGCTCCCAGTTGTAGAAGAAAGTAAGACTACAACTCTGAATTCAGTGGGTCGTTTTTCCTTCCTAACCCTGCTCCTCACTGAAGGACTGGAATCCTGGCTCATAGTGAAGGACAAACCTTGAGACGGCATTTGTCCATTTTGGACGAGGCGCCCTGGTGTCCATTTCCATCAGCTCATGCTGGAGGCGGGTTTGGGTGCGCGTGTCCAGACTTCCTGTAAAGTGTCCTCCTGCTGCCAGGACCAGCCTTTTCTAAGAGGTGGGGGGAGGGATGTTGGTGGTCGGGGAGTGCATATCACTAATCAGATCTGTTTCCTGCAGCACAAATGGGAGTTGGCGAGGGCAAGTCTATCGGCCAGTGGTACGGGCCCAACACAGTCGCCCAGGTTCTCAAGTATGTACTAAGCTCCATCCCTCCTGTTTCTTTGGGGAACATGATGTGCATATATGTAGCTGGGGTGTTCATACTCTCCTGAGGCCTGTTGCTCAAGGGCATAAGGAGTCTCTTATTCTTCAGGGCCTTCAGGAGGGTCCTCAGAGATGACCATCCATGTGGTCTTGTGAATCAGAATTCAGTTTTCTAATAGAATGAGTACCTTCATCCAGGTTTCGCCCATTGTCTTGGGCCTTTGTTCTGTGTCTATCCATGGATCATCCATCACAGTGGTCAGGGAGGTTGGAACTGGTTGGGAATGACAGCTCTGTGTGGGGAAGGCGGCCCTCTGTGCAGGCTCTGTGGGGCTCTGGCTCTGTTCTGTCTCCCCCTGCTTAAAATCTGTCTCTAGTCTCAGCTTCTCCTCTGCCCCTTGCCTCTCTGTCTGCTGGCCTGCTCCTTCTCCCTGTGGGAGGCTCCCATAGACACCCCTGTGTGCCTTCCTGGAATTGCCCTTCTCTTCCCTCCTTGTGGTGGATGGCTGCCGTCTGCACCCACCTGCCACCTCCACCCAGCTGCCCTTAGCAGGTTCCTTGGGATCCTCCAGGGCACTTTTTTCTCTTATATGTCTAACTTCCAGCTGGTTCAAGTCTGCCACTGTCTCTCTGTCTCCTTACCCAGCCCCCTCTATTACTCAGCCCTCCCATGTGCCCCTTAGAGTCCCTGCATGCCTTGGAAGCGTGGTCTGTGTGAGCTCTTCCTGTCTTGTTCCTGTCTGATAGCTCCTCCGTGCTGCCACCTTGAAGCAGCCCCATTGGGGTCACCATCAACCATGTCACGTCTGAAGGCTGAGTTTCTGCTCCTACTCAGCTGTCTGACAAGCAGCCCTTGGCGCAGGCTGTTGCTGTCTTTGCTCTCCAGTCCTTCTGTCCCTCTGTGCACCTCAGCCTCTGTTGCTGGTCCTCCCCACCTGTGAGCTCTGCGGTCTTGTCTTGCGCCTATGGTCGCTTCTCTGCACTGTCCATGCCAGCTTTAGCTGTTGCCTGCTCACACTCAGCTCCCAGAGTCACATCCCCAGTGCCAACTTGTCACATCAAGATGTTCACTCATGCCCAGCCAGGCATGGCTCAGCAGCTGAGCATCAACCTAGGATCCAAGAGATTGTGCTTAGAGTCCCGGTCAGGGCACATGCCCAGGTTCCCAGTCGGAGGCGTGCAGGAGGCAGCCGATCAGTGACAACTCTCTCGTCATTGATGTTTCTCTCCCTCTCCCTCTTTCTGAAATCAATAAAGACATATTAAAAAAAATAAAAATGTTCACTCTGCACCTTGGACATCTGAGGGGCATGTTGACCTAACAGCCAGAACCCAAAGCTGATCCCCCCAGCCTGCTTCTCCTACAGTAAGGGCAGCCCTTCCTTCCTGGCACTCAGGCCAGACACTGGGATCATGCTGGACTCTCTGCTCTCAACACACCCATCCAGTGTGTCCTAACTGACCAGTGTGTCTCATCTCACTGTCCTCACCCTGGTCTGAGCTCCGTCCCTTGCCTTTTTGTTGGTCTTCCTTCTCTTTGCCATTCTAGAGTCGCTCCAAACAGCAGCAAAAGTCATTTTCACATGATAAGTCAGCTACCCATTCCTCTTCTGCTCAGCACACCCCGGGCTCCCAGGTGACTGCAGGGAAGCTGCAGGTGCGGGCCTGCTGCCCTGCACTCCTCCCTGGCACATAGTACCTATGCTTCTCAGAGAACACACCACCTTGGGCCCTTTGCACATGCTGTGCCCTTTTTATTAGGGCCTTCCTGTACTACATTGGTCGCCCCCTCCTGCCTCTGCTTTGTTCTCTGGGGCACTTACTACCTCAGAGGGTTGCTTCTTTCTTGCTGCTGCCCCCTGCAATGTCAGCCTCTCAGGGTTTGTCTCACACGTGTTACTGTGGCCTCAGCATGGCACCTGGCCCTCAGCACAGGAGGGAAATGGTCGGTGCAGTACTGCAGGTGCTCTCCTGGCATCTCACCTGGCCTTCCACCCCAGAGGAGCTCTGTGTGGATACCCGTGTCCCCAGATGCAGCAGGTCCTCCCTCTCACATGGGAGCCTACCTCCACTGCACCTGAGAGTAGTTCACATGCCTCCCACCCCCCATTATACTTCTGGTGGCAGTCTGCCCTTCTTCCAGAGCCAGAATCCTGTGGCCCGCTCCTCAGTTGTTCACAGCTGGGAACCTCAGCTCAGCATGTCTGGGCAGGTTGGGGGAGCACAGTGAAGTGGGGCTGGGCCTGCCTCAGGTTGGCGAAGCTGTGGTATCTGGCCCCTGGCTCACATTCTGGTTCCCACCTGCCCATGCCAAGTAGATCAGGACATGACGCCCCTGAGGCTTCTGTGCAGGGACTTCCTCTTTGCAAAGGTCAGCTGGGGGTCAAGGTAGGAGCACTGCGCCCTGGGGGAAGAAACAGGTTCCAGCCTCAACTTCATTCCCACTTTTGGCACTGACGTTTCGGAACCTCAGCTTTTCTCATCTGAGAAATGCTGTTCCCTTGGGATCCTGTAGAGCTGAACCGTCCTTGACTTGTGAAAGCTTATTGGGTGTCCTCCCCCTTTCTGGTAGGAAACTTGCTGTCTTCGACACGTGGAGCGCTCTGGCTGTCCACATAGCAATGGACAACACGGTGGTGATGGAGGACATCAGTAAGTGACAAGAATGCAGGCTCGGGACTGACGGGACTTAGGGAGCAGCAGCTGAGCACATGTCCCTCCCGGGCTTACTTGCCTGAATGCGGCGACTGTGAGTCCTGCACAGCAGCTGGGTGCCCTGAACAGAGGCCAGGGGCTCCCAGGTTTCTTTACAGAGAGGACCAGGTGAAGGGGAAGGGCCTGGATTTTCTCCAGAGCTGGGTTGGTTAGGAACCCCCCCATGGTTTAAGGCGTGCTGGGTTGAGCTGCGTTTGTGCAGATGTTTGTGTGCATTATGTACCACCAAGGAAGGCGGGAACAGCTGACTTTCCAACCCCACCCTCTCAAGCCTCGGTGTAACAAGAAGCAGGGACACAGCTCTGCCGCTTTCCGGACAGATTCCCTGGACACCTGAAGGAATCTGGCATGCGCAAGTTTGGTCCAGAGCAGAATGAGAGCTCGGTTTGGCAAATAGCCTGTCATGAGTGAGGTTTGAATCCATGTTTTACATTTTATTTTGCACTCAAGCTGACAGAGCTCTGTTCTGTTTAATGCCTAAGTTTTTACTCAGCAGCACCGATTCCTGACAAATTTCCCAGAGCAGCCTAAACCCCAACGTTACTGAAGTTCCAGGTGTAAGTTGTTGCCTTGAATCCAATTTTACAGAGAGAACTTTGAGCTACGTTCTTGGATGTGTGCAGATTTGCAAGTCGATGTGGATGTTCAGAGGCAGGTCTTACGCATGTGACTGTGGTGTGGAGCTCAGCCACAAGTGTGCCTGTCAGCTCACAGGGGTGTTGCTTGCCTGCCAGGCAGTGAGCCCCATTCCAGGACACTATCAGTATAGGATTTTGGAGCCAGGGATGTGACTTCTTAATAAAAAGCAACACTGGTTTCTGCCGGTCCGAGCATATCCTTCGCCCCTTAACTGTTCTGTTCTGTTCCCCTAGAGGGGATGAACTTGGGACCTTAGCAGAAGGGTGTATATTTCTTCCTCCTGCCTCTTCTCCACATTCCATTTTCTGAAACATTGGAAACTTAGGAAATATGCAGAGAAGGGGAATCACTTGCTTTTACTTCTCAGAAATAGCTCATACTAATACGTAGACACAGTTCCAGTGTTTTTTTGTTTTTTCAAAAAAATACATAGTATCATAGCATTTTCTCCTGTCAGTAAAAATGTTATGGCTACATAACTTGTTTGGCTACACAGTGCTCCCTTACACGTTAGTTTCTTTTCCCCCCAGTGTTGGGGATCATCCTTCATTCTCCTCAGGGTCCAGCCCAGCTACTCGTCCAACCCCTGGCTCCAGGCTGGTTGCTCCAGGGGAGTGACCAGGAGGGGGCAGGGGCAAGCAGCTTTCCAGAACCTCCATCCGCCTGGGGTGTGGGGGGGGTGATGCTGGTGGGGCCCTCTCCTGTCTCTTCTCGGTCATTCAGAGAAGCTGTGCTAGAACTGTGATGAGAGGTGACCCGGGCTTGTCTGAGGAGCTCATGGGTCTGGTTCTGGGGAGAGTCTGACCCTGCATTTTTAACAGGCTCCCAAGTGGGCTGTGTGTGGCTGCCTGGCCATGATCAGGGCCCAGTCTCACTACATCGTCCTTCCCTTCCACCGGTCAGGAGTTACGTTTGCATATCACAGGGACAAATGGAGGATGTCCTGTACCGGAATTTAGGAAGAGGAGCATCAGAACATGACCAGCAAGGACACTGGGACTGAACATAGTGTAGTGAGGTGCGGGGTGAGCAAAGGTGATTCTGAGTGGCTCGTCAAGAGCCCAGGGGAGAAGAGCCCAGGCTTCTGTAGAGACAGGTCAGCTGCTTTTCTGGGGCGCTGCTGAGTCACCCAGGGCAGCAGGACGGGCAGGGAGGCTTTGGTTCAGCAAAGCAGAGGTGGAGAAACAGTGCCGGGATTCTAAGAAAAGCCTGCTGATGTCAGAAATCCTACAAGGCCTTCTCTAGAGAAAGGTGGCTTACAACATTCCTGCTCAGGTTTTACAGGAAGTATGCCAGCTGAGGGGACACTTTGTTCCATGGTGTCTCTGCCCACCCACCCTCTGAGGGCCTATCAGGACATCCAGAACAGGCCTGGACAGTGTTAGATGTTGATAGAGCCACACCTTTGGAAGCCCAGTGGGCCGTGGGAAGTCACGGAACCCAGGGAAAAATAGACTGGAAAGGTAGTCTGGCACTGAGTACAGGTGACACAGATGGAAACAGACTAATACAAGTATAATCAGAAAAGGTGTGGGTGAAGAATCCGATGGCAGAAGTAGAAATAGAGCAAAACAGGCGAGTGTGGGGATTGGAACAGCAGGAGAGAGGACAGTGGCAGTGAAGGAACTGGGGCTGGAAGAAGGGTTGAGTCTATAGAGCTAACGAACCCCACATTTTTAAAATCAAGAACATGTAAAATATGCATGTTCTTGGTAACATTTCCAAATTGCAAAAACAGAAACTTTTATAAACATCCAAATGATAGTAGTGACAATAATCTTCCTGAAAAGAAAACTGCTCACTGGCACTGCAGCCTCATCTTCCTGCCACCAATCCCCAGAAAATGCTCAGAGTTCTGAAAGGCCTGGGTTCACGAGGTTGGGAAGGCAAATGTATTATTTAGTTGTCATTGATTAAAAAAAAAAAAAAAATAGAGAACTTAAAGTTAAAAATGTTAGGGGAGCACTAGAAAAGTACAGTTGGGCACCTGGGACAAAGGAAAACCTGTTTATTAGCAGGACACTTGTGATGTAACAGGCCACACGCAGGCTCGCGAGTCCCAGGTGTAGCTGTGACAGGCCCTGCCCTATCCTGAGCCCCGATCCATGTGTCTGGTGTGATTCCAGAGACGAGGTCTGTGCTTGTGGTGGAATCAAGTCAGCAAGAGAATGCTCTCATCACAAAACACAAGCGAAACATACATCAGAGACCAGGACAGGTCAAATAGGTTAAAACCAAGTTATTGAAACCACAGATGCCCCTCTAGGCTCAGGCTCTAGGGCAGAATGTATCTCTTAAACGTTTATATAAACTAATGTAGAATACATAGGAAACAGGACGAAACTCTACTACCTCAAAGTGTTTTTATTGTTATTATTTTTAATGTCTATTGATTTCAGAGAGGAAGTGAGGGGGGAGAGAGAGAGAGAAACATCCATGATGAGAGAATCACTGATGGGCTGCCTCCTGCCCATCTGGGGGTTGAGCCCACAACCCAGGCATGTGGCCTGACCATGAATCGAATGTGACTGCCTCAAAGTTTTAAACCTCTCTCTTAGCTTTTGGATCAAAGGAAGTCAAGTTAACAGACTATATATCAGAATTTGACATATACTGAACCCAGGAGAAAACCCTGCACCGTCACTGATGGTCAGAGTAAAAGGGGAAAATGAAGTTGGGAAAGGAACAAGATTAGCGGAAGAGTCTCCCAGGGAGCTGTGTGGATGGCACCAGTTGCAGAGACGGGTAATTTCAAGGAAGACACGCTAGAACTAATAACTACCAGGACTGGCCCCTTGAAACAACATGCAGATCACCAGACGACCACCGCAACGGGGAGAGGAAGGTCAGGAGGTCTCTGTCTAGAAATTAGAAGGTAAGATGCTGGCACATGTTCTTGACACCAGCTTAGTGGCCTACAGTTCAACCCAGTTCTGACACCATCTACCTGGAGATGGCATCAGACCCCACAGGTTAGGGCCTCAGTCCTACACCTGCCTTCTGACCAGTGCTATAGATTGAAGGTTCCCACCACCACCTCCGGTTGGATTCTTTGCTAGAGCAGCTCACAAAACTCAGAGAGACATGTACTCACTGGATCACATGTTTATTCTGAAGGATACAACTCCGGAACAGCCACATGGAAGCGCTTCCTGCCCTCTCCAGGGTAACTCTCTTGGCATCTCCATGGTCCACCAACCCAGATGCTCTCTGAACCCTTCCTAGGTTTTTATGGAGGCTGCATTACATAGGCGAGATCGATGAAATCATTGGCCATTACATTTGGAGCTTCCTCAGCTCCTCTCTCCTCCCCACAGGTTGAGGTGGGACTGAAAGTTCTAACCTCTAATTCAGGTTGGTTCCCGAGACAGTCTCCACCCTTGGGGCTTCCCAAAAGTCTTGCTAACATAACCAAAGACCTGTTTGCTCTCATTTAAGAAATTCCAAAGGTCAGAGCTCTGTGCCAGCAGTGGGAGGCAGACAAAATATATATTTCTTATAAATCACAGTATCACAGAAAGATTAAGTAGTCAGAGATAAAAAAAAAAAAAGGTACAGTCTCACTCCCAGTTCCTTTTTCCCCAACCATCCACATTGAGATTCCAGTCCTCTCCTGAGCCTCAGCCGTGACTCACCATGGTCGGCACTTTGTGTGAACTTCATGGCCACCAGGTCACAGATAAGCTGCTCCTTCCCAACCATGGGCCTCACTGTCGCCCAGGCCGGCTGAGTTTCCTTTAGTCCAGAAGTCCTCCTGTTTTCTTTTTCCTGGTTCTCTGAAGAATGTCCCACACTCCACCTAAGGTTTCCTCGCAGTCACATTTGGACTAAGCACCTTGACCAAGAGCGCCACCTGGTGCCTGTGTCCCGGGCATCACAGGAGGAGGCTGCTGTTGGTCAGCAGTGTTTCCTGGGCCACCTGGTGAGGGCAGTGTCTCTGTTTCCCTTTGATTGATAGATGGCCTGAGGAGTAACACGTGTCTGCAGGGAGGCTTCTCCAAGGGAACCCTTCAAGGAAGAGCCCTCTTCCCTCCACCCTCTTATTTACATTTGAAAACTTTAAATTCAGTGTGTTGTCCACTATGGTCATTAATCGTCCCAGGTTTGGCTGGTGGGCATCCCTGCAGGCTGGCTCTGTCTTCTGTCAGTTCCTGTCATTTTCATTGGTCAGCATCCCCTTTTTGGCATTAACTAGATCAAGGCTCTCCTGGTACTTCCCCTGCCCCATCCTGGAATCAACCTCCCTAAGGAGCCTGGTTCCTTTCAGCAGGAAAGGTGTTTAGAAACCACACTGGGTGCTAGGTGTGCTCAAGGCCAGTGGAGTGTCTGTTCTTGCCACCAAACCCCCTAGTTCACATATTTGTTGGAGTATTTCCCAGTGTGCTTAGAAGTTGCCTAAACATTTAATAGAAGAATAGCTGTTCCTTGGTGTCCTTGCTGGAGGTGTGGTCACAGGAGTTGGGGACCTGGTCAGTGCTTCATTGGCCAGGCTGGTGGCTACGGGGCGCCTGTTTTAGGGTGGCTCTCTAAGGTGCACGCAGTTGTGTTCTCGCACTGTTTCCTGTGTATGCTCTATTTCATAATGAAAATGTTAAATCGAACACACAGAAAATGTTTGGTTCTTTTTTCTCTGTGTGCGGCAGGGTTAGTGTTATGCTTTATTTCCCAAGTTCGAGGTGTGTTTTGTATACCCTGTTTATGTACCTGTTTCTTTTGGGTGAACTTGTACCTACCTACTTAGCCCATAAAAACACATCTCTGTTTTTCAGGAAGGTTGTGCAGGAGCAGCCTTCCATGTGCCGAGGCCAGTGCGTTTCCTGCAGAGTCTGAAGGGCACTGTAACGGACTCCCTGCGGGAGCCGAGGTCACCAGCAGGCCATCACTGTGGAGACCCCTGGTGCTTCTCATCCCCCTGCGCCTGGGACTCACGGACATCAACGAGGCCTATGTGGAAACGCTGAAGGTGGGTCTGTCCTCACTGACCAGTGGGGAAAGAGTGTTTTACATTAAAACCGTTCTGTGTCATCATCTTGGCCCCGTCCTCCAGCCTTCTGACTACCCTGTGGACTCTTGGCCTCTACCTGGGCAGTCCTGGCTGCCCTTCCACTGGCCCCTGCGCTCTTCCCTATCCTTGCTCCTCCTCCTGACTTGGTGGTCCCATTGGCCACCTGACTCCACCCGGCCTCGGTGTGTAGGCCTACTCTACGGGCCTGCCTGCCCTCCTTCCAGGGCCCTCCCGTCCACCTTCCTCAGGCTCACCCCCTGCACAGAGCGCCTGAGCCCACGGCACGTGTTTCTTGTCCTCCTTCCTAAGCTTTTGGGGGCTCCTTCTCCTCGGGCCTCCTGTTCAGGGGTGCAGGCCTCCTGCTCTCGTGTGCTCTGCAGCCTTCCCTCCCTCCTGCAGGGCTGTTTCATGATGCCTCAGTCCCTGGGAGTGATTGGAGGGAAGCCCAACAGTGCCCACTACTTCATCGGCTATGTGGGTGAGTGGTGGGTCCCCAGTGATGCCTGTGATGCCCCAGTCAACCAGAAGGCAAGGGGGGGGAGACATGTCCAGTGGAGCAGTGCTGCCCCCTCTCTCCCCCCACACACCTAGAGGCGGCTTGACCCAGGGCCACCAGTGGAAAGGCAGTATGTCCCCACCTGGGCAGTGGTGCCTCCTGTGTGCCTGCCTTTCCCCACCCCATCTACCTGCAGTCTTGCCCAGCCTGGCTCACCTAGTCATCCGGGTTGTGGTGTGGCAGGTCTGCTCCCTTTCTGCTTACTTCTGTGTCATCTTGCTCAGGGGAGGAGCTTATCTACCTGGATCCCCATACCACGCAGCCAGCAGTGGAATTTACTGACAGCTGCTTGATCCCAGATGAAAGCTTCCACTGCCAGCACCCCCCGAGCAGAATGAGCATCGGAGAGCTCGACCCATCCATCGCTGTGGTGTGTTCCCCACTCCATCCCACCGTCCCCTGTGACTGCAGGCGGGAGCTTGTAGGCACCTTGGTCCTGGGTGGCCTTGCTGCTGAGCTGCTTGGGAGATGCTGGTTGAGGCCAAGCCTCAAACCCACCAGCCTAGCCCCAGGGGCACGGGGAGGGGACCTGTGTACCCTACCTCATAATTAAACCTGCCTCATTCCCAGGCAGCTTCCACTGCCAGCACCCCTGGCGTTTCATCATTAAAAACACCCTGGGGCAGTCAGGGCAGAGGGTCAACTGTAGATAGAGTGTGGATGGAGCCCGTGGTGAGGGGCAGAAGCTGGAGAAGTATGGATGGCAGGAGGTGCCCCAGGGTCCCTGCAGTGGCACTGGGAATAGAAATCTGGCCTCTTGAGGTCACTGTTCGTCACGGCCAAGTTTGGCCTGGTACTGCTTATGCTGTTCTCTTTTTACCACTGTTTTTCCTTTCAGGGTTTTTTCTGTAAGACTGAGGACGACTTTAATGACTGGTGCCAGCAAGTAAAAAAGGTTGGTAGCAACTCCCCTGTCTGCATGGGTGGGGTCTCTGGTTTGGCACCTGCTTCCTACTCATTCCTCACGGGTGCACCTGTGCAGCGAGCGTCCCGTGGCCTCGCATGGCTGCTGCTTCTGGCATCGTCTTGTCATGATTATAGGATGTGGGGACTGACACTGTTTAGGAACTTTATCGTTTTTAAATATATCTTTATTGATTTCAGAGAGAGGAAAGGGGAGAGAGAGATAGAAACGTCAATGATGAGAGAGTCATTGATCGAGCCCGCAACCCAGGCATGTGCCCTGACCGGAAATCGAACCCCGATCACCTGGATCCCAGGTCGATGCTCAACTGCTGAGCCACGCCTGGCTGGGCTGTTTAGGAACTTTAGAATCAGCCTTTTGTGGATGGGTGGTGGGAGGTAGGGTTGCCTCCAGTGCTGTTTCCACAGGATGGGTTGCCTGTAGGCAGACATCTTGTTGGGTTTCCATCTCAGCCCAGGGTGAAGAGCCTCCACCTTTGCTCTCGTCAGTGTTTCCCTGCTTGCAGTGGCGATTTGGGGGTGGGGGTAGGGGGACGTGCCCTTGTGGGCTCCTCTAATGCTGTGTCTTGCTGACAGCTGTCACTGCTTGGAGGCGCCCTGCCCATGTTTGAGCTGGTGGAGCAGCAGCCTTCCCACCTGGCCTGCCCCGACGTCCTGAACCTGTCCTTAGGTGAGTCTGAGGCTGCACCTCCGTATCTTAGGTGGAGATTGGTGCTGCCTGTTTTGTTGCTCTGGTGTGGTCTGTGTAATGCTTCTGTCCTCCCCCTCGTTTCCCCCTGGGTCCCATTGCTTTTGACCTTTAAGATTTGTGTGTGCCGTGTCCAGGTAGCTTAGTTGGTTAGTGTTGTCCCAATATGCCGAGGTTGCGGGTTTGATCCCCAGTGACCACATACAAGAATAACCAACGAATGCATAAGTAAGTGGGACAACAAATGGATTCTTCTACCTAAAAAAAAAAAAAAAAAACCCAATTAAAAAAAAAAGATTTGTATGAACCCCAGATGCGGTCACTTGGTGATTTATGTGTGCAGCACGGAACCAGGGACACTGCTGGACGTCCCCCTCCTCTCGCCCTGAGCATAGCAGCAGCAGTCTGACCACGTGTGCTCACCTGGCCCCGTGCCTGTGGATCTGGACGTGTTCCTCACAAGTCCTAGGTTTCGTATGATCCAGAATATGCTGGGCTTTCTGTGATGGCACAAGCTCCCCTCACAGTCCACCATGGGAGCCAGTCCTGGTCTGGATGACCATGGCTGCAGGCGAGCTTTGCATTCCACTACTCCATGATTCTGGGGCCAGGGGCCTCCTCCCTCGAACATCCCCTCAGCTCCCTCCAAGTGAACTGAGCATGTGGCCCACGGAAAACAGGCTGGGCACTGAGGCTGGGAGCACCTCCATCTGTCTCTGGGATGACCACTGTGAGGACCACGATGAGCCTGTGAACTGTGTGTTGAAGGTCACTGAGGACAGTGACGAGGGAGCTACTGTCCGTCTCTGAAAATCACTGAGGACAAGGATGATGGAGCCACTGTCCCTTGTTTCTGTGAAGATCACTGAAGACAGTGGAGCCACTGTCTCGTCATCTCTCCGACGAGTCTGAGGAATGTAGAGCCCACTGCCTGATAGAAACCACGTGGGAGTCGGTGCTGGCACGGAGACTCAGGACAGGTGCCCCATCATCGCAGATGGTACAGGGTTAGCACTCCTCTTGGGACTGGTGGCCCTCGCCCTCAGCCCCGTCACATACTCCTGGGCTCTGGTGAGAGGTGTGTCTGCTCCTCTTGGTAAGAGTCTCTGGCATCTCTTTCCTGCCCCCATCCCTGCCAGTGAGGTCCCTGGCCAACTCAGACCTGAAGGCAACACCCTCTGCAGTCCTGGTGTCTTCTTGCCGCCCGCCACACCTCGGCCACCCCTTGCAAGCACCCTTGCCTATTGGCACAGGGCCGGGACTAGCTCCAGAGTGAGGTGTGGTTGGTGCACAGACAGCTGCTTGTCTCCTCCCTACACCCGAGTAACCCAGGCAGGTGTCTGATGGATTTTCTCTCATTTCTTCTAGATTCTTCTGATGTAGAACGACTGGAAAGATTCTTTGACTCAGAAGATGAGGACTTTGAAATCTTGTCCCTTTGAAAATCCTAGTCAGGGACATCTCGACTGGCCCTTGCTGGGGGTGCCTCCGAGAGCCTCGCCCGGCCTCAGGGCACTTGGTGCCACTGCGTTTCATCCATCCTGCCCGCTGCCTGCCGCCGTGCCCCGACTGCCTCTACCCTCGATGGGGACTGCACTGTGCTCAAGGCCTTGCTGCAGGAGTGGGACTGCTCGGCCCAGACACTTGCGGGCCACTGGGGAGAAGCAGACACTGTAGGGAGCTGCACAGCGGCGGGGCCAACTGTCCATGCCACCTTCGTCCTGCTTCCTCCAGACTCAGTTCTGGGTTTTCTTTGGAATTAAAGTCCTGTTTGAAGTTCCTCGACACAGACATGCATTTCTGTTGGGCCTGTTCTGAGTCCAAGAAGACTGGAGGCCGAGTGAGGAGCGGCCCGGGGACTGGGCCTGCGCGCCCTCTGCCTGCAGCCCTGCCCATGGCTCCTCCAGGGCTGCCTAGTGGCGACAGGAAGGAGTGACTGCCTGGCATCTCCTGGCTTTGGGAGATAAATAGCAGAGGGGTGGAGCAAACCAGAGACCACTGTGCTTGTGACTTGCCAGGACAGAGCTGCAGGTAGCGCCTGAGTGGGTTCACCTTCCTCACCTCCTGGTGCCGGCATTTTGAGATCCCACTTGCTGCTGCTTGCTTGTCACGCTGGCTTCCCCTGGGTGCACAGTGGGTGGGGAGCTGCCCTGGCCTGTGACCCTCAGGCCCATGTAGGACGTCAGGGGCATGGCAAGCCTGGTGGGCAGAGGCTGCAGAACTGCCCTCCCGTCACCAAAGCTTCAGGTGGTTTGGGGCCAGAGGGTGAAACCCTGTTTGTGGTGCAAGACAGGCGCCCCATCGCTCATCACGTTACTCGGAGACATTTCCAGATCCTTCTCAGCACTGACGGCAGCACCTGCAGCTCTGAACCCTGGTTGGGCCCAGAGAGCATGGCTCCCACCCTGAAGAGTGGCCTCCGCGGGACCTGTGAACAGGAGCCTGGAGAACTCAGGGAGGTGGCCGCCGCCTTCCCGGGGCCTGCCTTGCGGAGCCCCTTCCCTCCCTCGGTGACTGCATTTGTGGGGACAGCGGGTGGGGGCCCATCTGATAGCAGAGGACATCCTAGCCCCTGAGTGTTGCCGATGTAAGTTAATTTGTTCTTTTCCTATCTCTCCCTCCTTCCCCAGGGAAGGAGGAAGGCTGGGCGGTCTCCATTCCTCCCGCTGCATCTTGGAAATGCGCTGCCCTGCCTGCTGGGCCAGGTCTCGCTGCAGCCCCCGCAGTGGTTTGAATGGTGGAAGCGGGTGGCGACTTGACCAAAGGGGCACCCTGTCTAGTGATTTGAAAAGCCTCACCAAGAGAGTGTTGTCCATTCTTAGTCTAGTTTGCAGTTCTTCATGGCAAATAACAGTTTCAGTAGAAAACAAAATCTGTCGTCTCTGTCTTGCCCTTTTCTCGAGTTAGGAGTTGTGATGTAGACGGAGCCCCCCTCTGACACGGCTCTGCCAGCTGTGACACTGGCCTCCTGTGGGCCTAAAGCAAAAAGTGTGAGGAAAACATTGTAACTGGTTCTTCAGCCAGAGGGGTTGGCCTAGTCTGATGTCCCTCCAGTGAGCTGAGACCACTGACTGCAGGCAGGTGCTGGTGCCTCAGCCAGTTCCCTCACTGTGCCCAAGACTTCCTGGCGGGACAGTGCAGGGGGTGACCAACATGCTCTGCTCCCCCCTTCCTCCTGCCTGCCCTTGGTTTAGGTGCAAGGGGGTCAAAGCCAGACAAAGTAGGAAGCTCTCTGCTGGTCCCTAGGCGAGGTGGCCCAGGAACCCGAGCTGTGGCTTCTGTGTCTGTGCCAGGACAGGTCTCACCCAGTGGCTTCAAACAGCAGACACTCAGGATCCTGAGGGCAGAGGTCAAACCAAGATGTCCACAGGGCAGGTTCCCCCCTGCACCTCCAGGGAGGTTTCCTGGCCCTACCCAGCTTCCAAAGCCACCCTCCTTCCCTCCACCCTCAGAACCAGCGGAGGTGCCTTTGCACCCCTGGCTCGGCCCCTCCTGCTTCCCTCCTTCAGAGACCCTTTCTTCCCAGACAGCCTAGGATGGAAGGTGCTGTTCACAGGCTCTGGGGAGAGCATGGATGTCTTTGGAGGCTGTTATTCTGCCCATAGTGTCCCACAGGCTTTAGGGTACTCGGGGGCATGCAGCCCCCCAGCCACACCTGCTGCCACAACTCTGGCCGGGATGTTTGACAACACGTGCTGTATTTATTGAAGAAAGTTTGAGTGGCCTTGTTGATTCAGAGGTCAGCCCGTTTCTGCCCCCACCCCAGCTGTGCTGCTCAGCACCTGTGGGACTCTGCTGGGCTCCAGCCTCTTGCTGAGTCTGCCCACCTCCGACCCCACAGCCCTGAGGGTGGTCTGTACTGCAACCTCCACCTTGACCCTACATCCTGACCCAGGCCAGAGAAAGTTCTAGTCCAGTTTCCAGCCTTCCCCAGCTCCAGCTGAGGGGTCCACTCTCAGCCCTCATCCCAGCCAGTGCTGGATGCTTGGGGCACGGCCTGGACCCACCCAGCTCCCTCTGGTCATCTCACCCATGTCTACGGCCAACACCAACCCTTCCTGACAGCCATGCCCTCACTGAGCACTGGCCTGGCTCAACCCACGGTGACCCTGATGTGGCCACAAAGGTAGGTGAGCTACCGGTGTCAGGTCTTCTCAAGAAGTCAACCCAGTTTCCTTTTCATTATAGATGGGATCTGGTTATGTGACAAGTTAACCAAGCAGATGATAGGACTGTCGCAGGGCCATCTCAGTGGTGGACCCTGGGACTGTCTTTGAAACAGTTGAATGTTAGTCATAGCTCAAATTCTGACCTTGAGCATATACAGCATGGTCTGGGTGGACAAGCTGATGCCTGGGGCCAACCTGCTTCCATCAGCAGGGCTGCAGTGAGCAACTTGAACCCCTGTGAGCAAACAACAGAACCACACCCCAGGACTGAGCATGCAGACACTAGCCATCCTTATCTGCTGGGTCTTGTGTCCTCAAGGTGGTATGTGGTGACCAGGAGAGGGCGAGGCAGCCTGGTGCATTCTGCCCACACCCACGTGAACATGATGGGCAGCCTTGTCTGCAGAGCCTGGACAAGCATGGATCCTGCCTGGTTTGGAGGAGATGGGGCCTAACTGCTGCCGCTGTGCAGGACCCCCCTGGCCACACGCAGGCTCTACCCCAGCCGGTCAGAACTGTCTTGTGACCACTTACAAGTTGGGGGTTAAGCAAGTACCATAGCTGCTGTCTGTGCAGACAGGGTCCCTGTGCAGCTCCCAGTGGGTTCTCCTAGGAAGGGACCAGGAACCATCCTACCTCAGAGCAAGCAGTTCAGGACGGGACGGAATGAAGTTGCCTTCCTGGCATTTAGGACCACAGTGGAAAGAACAGCAAAGCTAACCGCTGTGTTCAGATGAGGCAGGACGTCATACCTGAGACTCTGAAGAGAGGGAGGCCTTCCACAATGCATTTTCAAATTTTTACTTGTGCTTGTAAGAAACTCAAATTTCAAACTGACTGTCGTATCAGTGATCTTGAAACTGCTTGGATATGGTTATCATTTAGCTTCAGTACGAAGTTTAATACCTTATCTACATCCTCAGGGTGAAAGAGGGCAGATGAAGGCTGAGGGATATACCTTGAGGTCCCTGCGGCCGCAGCTCTCAAGGGCCACCTGCAGCCAGCTCTGTCGTTGGCTTGTGCACAGCCCCCCATGTTGTGCAATGTGAACACTCGGTCTGCAGGTCAAACCCACACACTCCCACCTCGCAGGACCCAGGGAGGGGACAGTCCCTCCATGTCTACATCCATAGCTCCTCCAGGGGCCTCTTCGCAGCGGCCTTCATGGTGTCCTCAGACAGTGTGCGGATCTCCTTGTGGACATCTTCGATGCTTTTGGAAGCGTCGACCATCTGTTCCCACAGGGGTATTAGGAGAAAAAGAGGATGGCTGCTGCTTTTAAACTATTCTCCGTGAGCATGGGGATTTCAAACAGGGCTGGGTTCTGGAAGGGCATAGCATAGGCCCCTTGGGATCCTTGACCCCACACCTTTCTGACCCTCAGCCCCAGCTGGGCAGGGAGGGCTTTACTTGTGTCCTTGATTTTTAAAAAATCCTCATCTGAGGTTATTTTTTTTCGTTGCTCTTTAGAGAAAGTGGGAGGGAGGGAGGGAAACATCAATGTAAGAGAGACACATCAATTGGTTGCCTCCTGCAACAGAGGTACATGCCTTTGGCCGGAATTAAACCTGGGGCCCTTTAGTCTGCAGGCCGACACTCTAACCAGAGCCAATCCACCCAGGGCTTCTTGTGTCCTTGGGACGAAACTGTCCTGCAAACCTGCTGTAGCCCAGATGCGGGAGAAACACCCCCATCCTGTTCCTGATCCCTTCCTCCCTGTGACTCCCTGGGACACACATCCACAAGGTACCCACACACCAGCTCCTTCTCCACCCCAAGCTGTAAGCTCAGATCTGGCTGAGGAGCCAGAGAGGGTAATGCCTGCCCTAGGCCACACTCTGCACACCCTCGGCCACACATTCACACATTAAATGTGCTTCCTCGAATGACACAAAAAGCATGACCTTCTGTACTAAGGGAGCCAGCCCAGGAGAAACTGGTCACCATCGGGATGGGGGGAGATGGGGACTTGAGTCCTTCTCTAGCCACTGATCTAGGTCTAGGCCAAGAACATCCAATTCTGGAAAAGGTCCTGGGGGTGGTGGGGGAGTAGAGACACAGAAAATCTACCCATTTCATGAAGTGTGACTAAGCAGAAATGAGAACAACTTCCTCCAGATCCCTGAGACCCCAAACGAGTGTGCCCCGAAGGTCACCTCGTGGCCACCTCTCCAGCCACAGAGCTCTGGCACAGAGTCTGCCCAGACAGCTGGCACTGGACAGTGTGAGGGGCATGAGGCAGTGATTTATTCCCAAATGGTCCTGGGGAAGATCTCTGGTCCTGTATGTGCAACTTTTCTGGGTGTCTTGTTGCTTAAAATTTTTGAGAGAGACTGCTAAAAAGAAATCTTTCAGGTAAACAAAAGCTGAGAATTCTATGCCAGGAGATCTGCCCTACAAGAAAAGGAAGTTCTTAAGGCTGAGGGAGATGAAAGGCAATGGAAACTTGGAAGGATAGATGAGCACCGGTGCGGGACAGTAGGAAAGTTTTCTGTCTTTCCTGATTCACACTCCTAGTTATCTACGTTCTTGGCTTATTCCTTGCAGATGTTGAAATGTGTTGCAAGTGAGAGTCGTTTAAACCATGTGGAACTGACTCCCGGCTTTAGTGTGAGACTCCACCAGTTGTGAGCGAAGGCTGTGTGAGGCTCCATGCTGCCGGCCCTCGTGGGGAGGAAGGGCTCCTACTCGCCCCAGATGCCACACAGCTCCGCACCAACCCGAGCATACCCACAGCAGGCTCTGCTCCAGAGGGAGGTGGGAAAGCACACACCAGGTGAGGGCCAACAGCTTAGCCTTCCAGAGTGGCAGGACACAGTGTATGACCAGCAGTGGACCTGGTCAACAGAAGAAAAGCGGCTCTCTCAAGCCTAGATGGTACCTGTAGCACCACCTGACCCCTGGGGCCCAGGCACTTGGTGTGCCTGAGAGAGCGGTGGTGGCATCTAGTTTGGTGTTTCTGGCAGGTCAGTAGCTCACCTGCAGGAGGGAGGAGGGAGGCTGACGCCTGGGACTGAGGCCAGGACCCTGGGTGATGGGTGCCAAGATGAGGGAGAGCCTCAGCATGAGGGAGATGGCTGAGCGGGCCATGGAGGGGGGCGTGTTGGGAATCGAGCCCCCAAGGCCAGGCCAGCAGAGTCAGGAGCTAGTGTGGAGACAGGTGTACCCCCCCCACAAGGAGCCCTAGCGCTGGAACTATGCAGGATGAGGGGCAGGAGGGAGGCAGTCCCTGTCCCCAGCAGCTTCAAGGGGGTAGACTGAGGGCTGACCCCCCGAAATGGGCAATATCCGACTTCCAGTGTGAGGACCTAAGCACAGACTGCAAGTTAAAGTATTGCTCAAAGCATGGAAAGTGGCGTGAGGAGTGACTCAGGGATTTCATGTTCTAGATGGCAAGGTTGCATGGCTAATGCCCGGCAGAGGACAGGAACCCTCTGGGTGGTCAGCTCTGGAAAAGACCCACCAGGCGGGATTGCTGCTGTGGGCCTGTCAAACTGTCCCCTGACCCACCCACAAAGCACCCAATTTCCATGCTATGAGAAGCCATTGAGGATCAGGATTTGCTGGTACTGGGACCCCAAGGGTGGCCACACTCCTGTGTGCAGCTCTGGCACCGTGGGTGACTCACCTTCCAGTTCAGGGTCCTGTCCTCCATAAGCTGGTGGAAGCATCGCAGCGCCCGCTCCTGAAAGGCCCCGTCCTCATAGCGCTCTTGGCCAAACCCACCCCGCTCCACAGCCTCCGCCAACCTCAGCTTAAGGAACACGACCAGGTCTGGTTTGGGGAGGCCCACGTCTGGCTGCTTACACCAGTGCAGGGAGAAGTTCTGCAGCAAAGAAACCAATGATCAGAAAAAGAAGCTGAATGGGGTCTAATGTGTTGTTTTAAAATCCATAAAAAGGGGGGAAAAACGAGCTACCATTTTTTGAGACACTATGAAGTGAGGATTCTCACCTAGTAGTGGGTTCTGAGTTTTTAGATTGTGAACGTTTTACTGTCTCCCATGCCACCTCCTGGTTTGACTTTCTAGACAAAGTGGACAGAGCCCTGGCCAGGGTGGTTCAGTTGGGTGGCATCCCATGCATGGAAATGTTTCTGGCTCAAATCCCAGTCAGGGCATGTGCCCAGGTTGCGGGCTTGATCCCTGGTAGTGGGCATCAGGAGGCAATCAATGTATCTCTCACATTGATGTTTCTGTCTCTCTCTTTAAAAATCAATAAACATATCCTTGGGTAAGGATTTTAAAAAAGAAAGTTATTTGGGGGATGCGCACCAAACAGTTATGAAGAAATTATGCTGCACTGGGTGGGTCACAGTGTGGGGTTGTTCACCATTTCCTCTGCTGACAGGTATTTGAAACTTCCCAAATAAAAAGCAGATAAAGGGGGAGATACAGTCACTGCTGTTCTACTTGGGACAGGAGGTCAGGAAAATATACACAGAGCTCTTGCCATCTGGTCTGGACACAAGGCTGGAATGAAAGCCCTGCGGATAGACCGTCTTGGAAACATGAGATGTGAAAACTAGCAGCAGCTACACCAGTGTTCACTGTTCCTTCTAATAAAGACCAGATTCCAGTGGATGGACATAAGGACCATGGGACTTGTAGTGTGATGTCACGGTGCACGTGCTCCGACCATTGCTCTGGACAGTCACACCTGACGGTGTCCCACCAGGTGGGGCCGCACTCACCCCCTTGGCGCTGGTGAAGGCAACACCAGAAAATGCGTATCTGTCCACGACGAGGGTAATGCCCTGGCGCAACTTCTCCTTAATCAATGGCCTGGAAAACAGAAAGTGCTTCTGAGCCACGGACCTGGCTCCACAGCCCCACAACTGTCACACTAGTCATCCTGATGACAGTTCAGTTCAGTAACCTGGCAGGGATTATGGCCAGTGACTGTGAATTTACTCTTATTTAAATATTTAAAAAAAAAAAAAAAAAAAGCTGG